GAGGAATGAGATGCTCAAGAGAAGCCAGATTCCACATGGTGACAATGATCAAATCCCCGTCACACTCAGTCTGAAACAGGCCAAGCACACATGAGAAAGCCCCAGAGTGCTCCAGAGGACTGAAAGAAGGAGATCATGGTATGGCCTGACCCCAGAGAGGATGCTCAGATCTCTTTCTCTCTCTCACTTTGGTGTGTGGGTGTATGGGTGTGTGTGTGTGTACGTGCTCTATCACAAATAACGGGGAAAAATATGTTTCCTAGTGGAATAAAAAATGTGGCTAGGAGGGACCAGCAGTTAGCGTAATGGCTATGTCGCTGGACTCCCATGTAGTCAACCATGGTTCCCGTCCCAGACTCGGTGGCTTAAACTCACACCGGGCGCGTGTGCGTGCATGCCCACAATCCCAAGAGGAGAATGGAGGAGAAGGGATTGTGGCGTGGCCATCCCCCCTGGGGGGTGATTTCTCACTTTCTGTCTCTCTGTCTCTCTGTCTGGTGAGCGCACGTGCCCTATAGCAAAAAACTCTAAAAAAAAAAAAAAAATGGTGGCTAGGGAACAAATGAAAGTCATTTGCATCTGTACTTCCAAAATTAAAAAAAAAAAAAAAAAAGTAGGCCTAATTTCCAAATCTGGCTTTGAGGTATGGAAACTTGGGACTAATATTCACACGGCAAGGGGCCAGGTGCCCAGCATAGTCTGATGCCTCATATGAACCAATCTGAAGAGGTAAACTACCAAAGTGACGACTAGGGACAGACAGCTGTTGTAAATGTATGATAATGAAGGCACCAGCAGGATTTTCTCTTTTCTTTCTTTCTTTTATTTTTTTTTACCAACAGGATTTTCTGAATCCCAGATTGCCACAGGTCCTGACCCTAATAGGAGTAAGCAAAAGGCACTTCACGGATGGCACTATGAGAGGAAGAAGTAATGGACTTGGAATAAAAGAAAAAAAGAATGAAATCCAAGTTCTATTTAACCATATAAGTTATAGTGAACTGGACTCATTGTCATCTGAGTCTTCTCACTCGGAATATAAATTACTCCATCTAATTCCCTCCTTCATCTGTCCCTGTCTCCACCTCTCTCCCAGAGAAACACTCATTTTAACCTCTCTCAGGGTCAGGCTGAGGCAGCTCTAGAATAACAGAAGCTACTACAAACTGAATTCCAGTCTGCAGTGACCCTAAGGGTCCAAACTTGGGTCCTGGGACCACTACAAAGCCAAGCTGTATTTCTACATTGAGTACAGAATTAGTCTAATCTCTTTGGTATCCCTCCAAATAAAGACTGATCAGACTGAGTAGACATAAGATCTAGGTGAACTGACCCGGGTATCCCTCACATCCGGCAGATATAAGCACCCATATAATATATTCTGTGGGAATATGCAGGCATTCATTTCAATGAATCCTAGAAAAATCTTCATACTAAAAGCACACTCTTATCTCTTACAACAGTCTGGTAACTTGGTAGATACAATTTCTAAGAGCCTGTGTCTAGGCCAATGGCACCCAAGATCATAATGCTAACCCAAGCTGATAACCAACCTTAATAAACAGAGAGAGAAAAGAAAAATTTTACAATACCAGCCCACAGAGAATTATTAACACACATCCCTGCCTTATAATATACAGATATAATTAAGAACTCCTGTGTAAGGAACAATTGCTTTCAAAGGTTACATTGTTAGATTAATGCCTTGTTCATTGAGGACTTTAGGGCACTAAATGCATACACACCAAATCATAATTTAGTCACCCAAATTTAGTTAATCTGCATTAATTTCCAAGGCTTTGAGTGGAGTTGGTCTAACCTTTGCGATATGTCACATACCAGTCTATTTCAAGTATTATTAATATGCCCCTTGGAGTTTGTATCTTTGACTCAAGCACCTCGTGGTCTCAGCAAAGCCTGCCAAGACAGAAACGTCTCTAAGTCAAAAGTAGCATCAAGGCCCCACAACCTGCAGAGCAAATTGTCTACTGTGACCTTGTGGGAGGAGGAGAAAAACCGTCCCCCAGTATTATCTGGGGATTTCTTCCAACATGTCAAGAAGATAATCCACAGTTGGCCAAGTGGCCATGGCCGAAACAGAGGAGGAAAAAAGGAAACAACTATCCAAAGAATCCATAGCATGCTTGTAAAACTGATGAGCATTTTAACTAGGTAACTGTGATAACTGTACTGCTGACCTACCTTTCACAGGAGAATCAGTCACAGGTAGGTAGTTCAGCTTACTGGTAGCCCAGTCTGACATTGTGAAAATAATCTTTTCTGTACTTCGGGAGTTCTTCAGATCATGGAGAAACATACTGTAGATCTTTGGAAACTGACTTGTAGAAGACTACCTAAGCCAATGAAGGCCCATCGTCTTGACTCAAAGAGATCGCTTCTCAACAGAAGGACATTTTGACCTCAAGTCTTTGAACAGCTTAATCCTAGACTGAATTTGTCTAGTATTGAGTATACTTATTCAATTAAACTCACTGCCAGTCCTCTAAGTGAGAAACACCTGTACTGCATTTGCAGCTATTTAAAAAAAAATTCCACAAATATCATCCCTTTCCTCTCCTATTTCATGAGCTTTCTGAATGGGAATCTGAGAGAGATTGTACTTCACAGTCTGAGGTGGTAGTGAAGAGAAGGAAGGGCAAGCTGGTTAGTCTCAAAAGGGCTCAAAAAGAAAAGTGGTTACCTGATATGGAAAGAGGGTCAACCATCAATGACCTGACAAAGGTGCTTCCCTGAGGCTGATATGAAAATGTGTACAGTAATGACAGACTCAGCTAGCAGGGCCACCTCAAAAGAAACAAAGCTACTGAGTTACACTAGGGAAACTATACTTTGATAAAACAATGATTCAAAGCAGGAACCCATGGACTAGAAAGCGAGATTCTATGTCTCTGTTCTCTGTCAACTTACAGAATGATTGCTTCCAGAATCGAGGTCTCAATTTCCTTCTAATACATTTCAGAAATAAGAATGCACCTTCCTATAGAGTTCAGAAATTTAGAGTTTAAAATTTAATTAAATTGAATGTGCCCTTAGCTTCTATTGTATTTCACATTCAGCTCCTGATTAAGTAGGATATATAGTTGTGCAATGTAAATCTGAAAAATTCACGCCTATGGGCAACTTCTCTCCTTTCTAAGTACAATTTTTTCCTGAGCTTTAGTTTCCTCATCTGTAAAATGGGAATAACAACACGACACACGCCACCTACTTTAGAGGAGCCTGCTGAGACTCACATGACATACTACCTTAGGTGGGGCATTGCTGAGAGCAGGAGAAGAAAACAAACAAAACAAAACAAAAAAGCAGACATAAATAGGGTGAAAAGAAGAGAAGTTTCTTCTACCTGAAGGAGCATAATTGCAAACATGATGATGAGTAATTTTAAGCTATTGGCTAAATATAGTTAGGGAAATGGCTTGACATGAAGTTGAATTATTATTAAGTAAGTGGATTCTCATGGCAACACATTCATTTTGCCCAGAAGGCAGAAGTAGAAAAATAAGAAAGAGTAAGAGTGGGTGTCCAGCTCTCAGCTCACCAAAATAACTAATGAAGTTCCATTCAGGGAGAGAGGGTGGAGTTAGCTATGACAGTCGAAATACACTGAATATTGTTGCATAAGGTAAAAGAAGTATAGGTGTCTTACCAAGCACAGTATTGTCGATCATCCACAACAACCTACTACAGCTATATACAAGGCCTGCCATTTCTATAGCAGGTTTAGAAAAAAACTATTTAGTGAGTATCAAACAGAAGTGATTTGGTAGCTTAGGGAGGTAGGAAGAAAATAAGACACCCGTAACAATGAGGTCAGCGGTGTTCTAAGAGCTATAGCCAGGAAGAGATACAAACTGTTTCTGAACACTACAAATCAGCAAAACAAGACCTGCTGGCCTTAACCCACTATAGCGATGTACTCTCCAAGTGATCTAAGATACTCTATGAGGCCAAATAGAAAACGCAATTTTCTGAAAAGCATCTAACTGTGCATATGAGTGGTATGGTGTACAGGCACACTGACCAAACAGAAGTAAAGATGACTAATCTATAGGAATGACACCAAGGACCAAATCACGAGTAACCATGACAACCCAAGTAGGTGGAGGGAAATACAAACACTGACCAGGCGCGGGGTGACACTTCCCCTTCAGGTAGAGACCCTGGGGTCGGAAAAAGACTTGACTAGAGGAGGAGCCTGGCCAAGAATGAAACTGACTAGCCCACAGGCAATGTCGATGCAAGCGGTTCGTTCGGTGGTGTCACTAATGCTCTCCACGGGCGGCTCGCAGGGTCACAGGCTCATCGGTAAGAGAAACACCCAGAAGGGAGTTACCTGGTGCAGGGCTGTCAAGCCGTCCACGTTGACCGTGTTGATATCAGCGCCTCTCGCTAGAAGCTTTTTCACCTCGTCCGTGTCCCCGCTTGAGCAGGCGGCCAGGAAGACAGCACCGTCCTCGAAGCGGACGCGGGGGCTCCCGCGCC